ATTCCTGGCTGAGCAAGGGCTCGATGTGGAACTCGATTCCAGGACCCTGGGATCATGACCTGAGGTAAAGGCAGACCTTTAACGACTGAGCCACCCAGGCGCCCGTGGGTATGATTTTAAATGAAATCCAAGCACCTTCTCTCCTTGTTTAGTTTAAGTGCAGCTACCAGAAATGCAGAGCAGCATTTAAGGTATAAAGTACTCTATTCTCAAGGCAATCTCACTATACACCAAGGTTCTCCTTACAGGTGAAGCAGACAAGCCCGGGGTAGGACTAGAATGCAGGATTCACAGGCTCTCTGCCCTAGCCCCATGACAACCCCTTGTGCCAAAGCCTGGGTTTTGCAGCAAAGCTCACTTCAGGCCAGGGAAGCCTGGGTCCACCAAGAATCCTAAGCAATATATTAGACCTCCTGAAATGGAGAGTCCTGCTGCTTTAATCATTAATTTACCAGAGAAATAACAGAATGATACTATTCCTTGGGTGAGCTAACAATAACTGTGGCAGGTAAGTTGCCTGCTATTCACACACACTAAGAATAGAAGTGAATCCCTTAAACTGATAAAGGACATGAAGCCAATTATTTTTTTTAATTTTTAAAAGATTTTATTTATTTGAGATAGGGAGAATGAGACAGAGAGAGTGAGTATGAGCAGGGGGAGGGGCAGAGGGTGAAGGAGAAGCAGACTCCCCACTGAGCAGGGAGCCAGATGTAGGGCTTGATCTCAGGACCCTGAGATCATGACCTGAGCCAAAGGCAGACACTTAACAGACTGAGCCAGCCAGGCGCCCCTGAAGCCAATTATTAAAGTATTGCCTCTCTACTCTAAATTCACCCATCAAAACATGCTTTCTGATAATAGACACAATTTTTAAGTCTCTCTCCTTCAAAGTGACACAATGTTATATTTTCTCAGGAGAAGACACTGGAGGGACATTGAAGAAAGTGGCTCTCTTGTTATTTCTGGTTCTCAGAGGTGTGTGTGTGAGGATATCCTCAGTGCTCTGCCCCAAGCATGAGCCAAGAACAACTCCTCATTGAATGTACAATCCTGGTATGGCCTGCTGATTGGCTTTCTATGACTTTCTTCACAGAGACATCTTGTGCTCCAAACCACCTGCCCACTGATTCTCTCTGCTTGCTTTCTTTACTGCTCCGCACCAGCCCCCTGCCCAACAGGTTTATCATCTGTAGTTCTGCCAGTGCTGTAGCCCTCCCAACACCAAAGCCCTTCTAATCCTGCGTGCAGGACATTTTTGGCTCCAGGCCTCCAACTCCACCAGCATCCTTATTCCTACTACATGCCCACACACTAACCACTAGTTGTCGCTTGTCTACACTGATGTGTTCCAAAGTGTTACTTCCTGCTCACCCTGCAACTGTAGCCCAGCTCTGGTTCTGCAAACCAGCTTTGTGCCCACAAACCAGCAAATTTCTCTGCCATCCAATAGGTTCTCCTATACTTTCTCCAGTGAGGTGTGAACTCCAGGCTTTGAGAGGGCCACCCCCACTCCAAATTTTTCTATCTTTGAGTACTCTCTCTCAGCCCCAGAATAACATACACGGTTTTCTCATATACTATATATTATACAGTTGTCATAGTTTAACTTGATGTTAAACTTCCCCTGTCCACTGTACACTTTCTATCTCTTGACTGGACCAGTGTGCAATAGAACACAACATCTACATGAAATGCCACTCTTAGAATTACTGAAACCTTTCTCTTTCAGAGCTGCATCAAATAAAGACGTCCACTATCACCTAGAGAGAGCAGGAAGGGGAGGGGGGGGAGGATAAAAAAATCATTTGAAAGGAAAAAAAATAAAACTGGCATTATTTGCAGATGTTACGATTCTGTACATTAGATCGTTATAGGTATTTACAGACAAGTTACTAGAATCAACAAAAGAGTTTAGATGTTTATAGCATAAATAAATCAACATACAAACACCAACCATATTCTACTTACCAGGAAAAAAAATTAGAAAATGAAAAGTTCAAAGATGGTATTTGCAAAATATGAAGTATCAGGATAAAAATGTCCTCTTGTGGAAAACATACAAAATGTTATTGGAATATTAAATAAGTTATCTTATTAAAAAGAGAGAACAAAAAACAAACACTCAATATTGAAAAGACGTCAAATCTAAAAGTTTAACACAATCTTAATTAAAATCTCAAACAAGCTTTTGGTTGAAATTCTAATGAACTGATCATCTAAATGGAGTCAAAACAGGCTAAAAATAACAAAACATCTTCAAAGAACAAAGTAGAATGGACTGGTTATCCAAATAACAGGATTGACTTCATATCTGTAGCAATTAATACTGATATGTGGTATGTCAAATAAATAAAAAGAGCCATGGTATTTACTAGAGTGTATAGAAACTAGCCCATATATACATAGACACTTGATTTATGACATGTGTTGCTGTAAATAAGTTGGAAAAGAGCAGACTTATCAAGTGTGGTTTACTGAGACAATCAGATATCCAAAGGGGGGGCAGGAAACCAGAACCCTACTCAACACCATACACAAACATCACTTACAGGTGGACTAAGACCCGTGAAAGGCAAAACCATAAATATTTTAGAAGACAATATAGGAAATAGAAAATATTTTCATGACCTTAATGCAGGGACAGATTTCATAAAACAGGAAATCACTAACCATAGGAAAAGAATGGTAAATTTGACTGCATTATAATTAAGATCTGTTCACAAAGCACAGCATAAAGCACGTGAAAATACAAGCAACAGAGCAAGGGACTTTTTGGCCACACGTATAATGACCAATGCACTGGTATTTAAAACATATGAAGAACTCATTAAATCAGTAAGTACAACACTGAAAATAGAATAGAAAAATGGGCAAAAGATTTGAATTTGAACAGTCCTTTCACAGAAGAGAAAATCCAAAAGGCTCATAAATATGAGAATATGCAAAAGCTTAATAGTAAGAGTAAAAAAAAGTAAATTCTGACAATTCTTGGTGTAGGTGAAGAAGTGTAGCAGCAGGAACTCTCTGTGCTACTGGTGAGACTGTAAATTGGCACAACTACTACAGAAATCAATTTGGCATCATCTAGAAAAGTTGAGGGTATTCATACCCCAGTGATTCTATTTTTGGAGGTGGACCCAAGAGACTTTTACACATGTATTCCATGGGAAATGTCCAAGAATGTTCACTGCAGCATTGTTAATACTAATAGTCCCAAACTAGAAACAACCATAGTGTCCATCCACTGTAGAATTGGATGTTCAATCAATTCATGATTGCTTCACTAAAATTATACACTGGAATGCTAGTGAACAATGGAGACAAAGAATCTATAGCTACTCTGAAAAACATGGATGAATCTCTCAAATAAGTGATACAAGTGAGAGAAGCAAGCCATCAGAGGAAGCATGCGGTATGATTTATTTATATTAATTCATATAAATGGTATTATTTAGGGATGTGTACACAAGTGGTAAAGCTATAAAGAAAAACTCTGAAATACTCACAATGTCAGGATAATGACTATATCTCTAAGAAAGGGTGTGGGTTGTGATTGGGAGGAACACAGTGTCTGTATTCTGGAAAGCTGGCAATGGTCTATTTCTTGACCTGGGTCCTAGTTACATGGGTGTTTGTTTTTACAAATTATCTAAACCTGGCAGATATGTTTTATGCACTCCTCTATACCTCAGATTTTTAAATATGGCTTCCTGCAAAAAAATGTAATGGAAGGAAAATATGTGAAGTAAAAATTTTGATAAGGTTTAGAGTATTAGGGATGAAAAACTTTTTCTTTCTATCAAGTGTTCTGCAAGTATACATTATCACTAAAAAGGGGGGAGTGGGGATTATTTAAACTATATGCGCCCCATAATCTAGTCATTACCCTAAACCTTTTCCTTGCTAGATATTTCACCCTCTATTTATATCATTTCCCAAATCACAGATGACAGACAAGTCGGAAGATCATCATCATCATCATTAACACAATCATTAGGCATCACAGGCCAAATCCATTACAGTGAGATTGGGTCACCACACTGAAATGCAAGCCGGCACACCAGGACTATTGAACACGGTCATATGTGTATTTTTCTCAGCAGAGTCCATAACAGTGACTTAGGGCTTAATCTTATCACACTTAACTGGTACTCCTGTCCAGAGACCTCCATGTGCTGGAGAATCTAGAGTTAGCTAAGGAATGCTGTGGGACTGGACATGAAATTTACCATGGTGTAATGGCAAAGAGCTGGTTTAGGTTGTGCACCCTCTTAGAAGAACCCAGGGGTGGGGTGGGTTTTCCAGGATTCAATATAAATTGTTTCATCTTCCAGGCTTTGCACTTCTAGGCTGAACAGTGGTAATCTGTTTTGGCCCCACCTCTTACTCATTCTAATTTCTGTATCAGCAGGCAATAAATAAATAAATAAATAAAATTTTCCTGAGGACCTTGCTCAAGACAGTTCTGGATATGGAACTTGCCCAGGAAAAGAAAATCATTTTCAGCATAATTTGCTAGCATTATGGTAGTTTAATGTTGACACATAGTGTATTGTCCCAGGAATTTTCTCTCACTGGATTGATAAATCCAGCCAGGCAGCCATCCAGTAAACAATTTTTTACAAAAATCACCATGCTTACCACTGGGAGGGGGTGAGGGTGTTTATTTTGGTATATACAGTGATGTACAGATTTAAGTTGCATTTAGCAGATAGATTGCTAGGTATTCCAGCACCATTTACCAAGTGAACTTTCATTTCCCCATTATCTGGGAAGACGTCCTTGATTTCCTACAAATATTGAATGTAGAACTTATTTGTGCATACCAGGCTCTGCCTTTGGGCTTTCTATTCTGTCCCAGAGACCCAGTACCAGAATATTTAAATCACTGTGTCGTTAAACACGTTTTAATATCTGATAGGGCCAGTTTCTGCGCATTGCACATTTTTTTTTTTTTCCCTTTCAGGAACGTGTTCAGGCCCGCGGCAGGGGGCGGGGTCGCGCCTCCTCCGTGGCTCTGGTTCCAGTGGAGCCTCACCGACGCGGAGATGGAAAGCCCGAGGCTGCTCCCGCCTCGAGGGACACGACAGAGCGGCGGTGCTGGCAGCCCCGCGGGCGCCAGCCGGTTCCACGGCGGCCCTGACCCGCGGGCTGGCCAGGTCCCCGCGCGCCGCCTCCTGCTGCTCCGGGGCCCCCAAGATGGCGGGCCCGGGAGGCGGCACGAGGAGGCCCGAGCGGCCTCACGGGGCCCGGGCCCGAGCCCGTTGGCGCCGAGGTCGGATCACGCTGGCGGCGGCGGCGGCGGCGACAGCGATGACTTCTTCCTGGTGTTGCTGGACCCGGCGGGTGGCGATGTGGAGACCACGGGCGCCGGCCAGGCCGCAGGGCCTGTATGGAGGGAGGAGGCCGAGTCGGTCCCACAGCTCCAGCAGGGTGAGAATGGCGCGAATCCCGCGGGCCGCCAGGCGCTAGGCCCCCGCTGCCTGTCCGCAGTCCCCGCCCCATCCCCGGCTGAAAACCCGATCCCCGCCCCAGGCCTGGGACCCGCCGCGGCCTTCACGGGCACCGTCACCATCCACAACCAAAACCTGCTGTTGCGCTTCGAGAACGGTGTCCTCACCCTGGCCACGCCCCCGCCGCCAGCCTGGGAGCCTGGGGTCGCGCCTGCCCCTCAGCCTGGGGGTCTGATGGCTCCGCAAGCGGGGGTCCCGCACGCCGCGCAGCCCAGCGACTGCCCGGAGCTGCCGCCCGACCTCCTGCTGGCGGAGCCGGCGGAACCGGCGCCCGCCCCCGCGCCTGAGGAGGAGGCAGAGGGCCGAGCCGCAGCCGAGAGTCCCCGCAGGCCGCTGGGCCCAGGCCCGGGCGTGGTGCTGTACCTGTGTCCCGAGGCGCAGTGCGGACAAACCTTCGCCAAGAAGCACCAGCTGAAGGTGCACCTGCTGACTCACAGCAGCAGCCAGGGCCAGCGGCCCTTCAAGTGCCCCCTGGGCGGCTGTGGCTGGACTTTCACCACCTCCTACAAGCTCAAGAGGCACCTGCAGTCGCACGACAAACTGCGGCCCTTTGGCTGCCCTGCGGAGGGCTGTGGCAAGAGCTTCACCACGGTGTATAACCTCAAGGCGCACATGAAGGGCCATGAGCAGGAGAACTCGTTCAAATGCGAGGTGTGCGAGGAGAGCTTCCCCACTCAGGCCAAACTCAGCGCCCACCAGCGCAGCCATTTCGAGCCTGAGAGGCCGTACCAGTGCGCGTTTTCTGGCTGCAAGAAGACGTTTATCACAGTGAGTGCCCTGTTTTCCCATAACCGTGCCCATTTCAGGGAACAGGAACTCTTTTCCTGCTCTTTTCCTGGCTGCAGCAAACAGTACGACAAGGCTTGTCGCCTGAAAATTCACCTGCGGAGCCACACCGGTGAGAGACCTTTCCTTTGTGACTTTGACGGCTGTGGCTGGAACTTCACCAGCATGTCCAAACTCTTAAGGCACAAAAGGAAGCACGAGGATGACCGGAGGTTCATGTGCCCTGTGGAAGGCTGTGGGAAATCTTTCACAAGGGCTGAGCATCTGAAAGGCCACAGCATAACCCACCTGGGCACAAAGCCTTTTGTGTGCCCTGTGGAAGGCTGCTGTGCCAGGTTCTCTGCTCGCAGTAGTCTCTACATTCACTCCAAGAAACACTTGCAGGACGTGGACACTTGGAAAAGCCGTTGCCCAGTCTCTACTTGTAATAAACTCTTCACATCCAAGCACAGCATGAAGACCCACATGACCAAAAGGCACAACCTCGGCCAGGATCTCTTAGCTCAGCTGGAAGCTGCGAATTCTCTTACGCCCAGCAGTGAACTTACCAGCCAGGGACAGAGTGATCTCAGTGATGCAGAGCTAGTGTCTCTCTTCTCTGATGTGCCTGGCAGTAGTTCTGCTGCAGTGTTGGACACAGCATTGGTGAACTCTGGAATCTTGACTATTGATGTGGCTTCTGTGAGTTCAACTCTGGCAGGGAGCCTCCCTGCTAATAATAATAATTCCTTAGGGCAGGCTGTGGACCCTCGGGCCTTGATGGCCACCAGTGACCTTCCTCAAAGTCTGGATACCTCTCTCTTTTTTGGAACGACAGCCTCTGGTTTTCAGCAGAGTCCCTTAGATATGGATGATGTCCCAAGTCTAAGTGTGGGGCCATTGGCATCTCTGGGCTCTTTGACTATGAAAAACTCAAGTCAAGAGCCCCAAGCTTTGACCCCCAGCAGTAAGCTAACAGTGGACACGGATGCTCTGACTCCTTCAAGCACCCTTTGTGAAAACAGTGTCTCAGAACTACTGCCGCCAACCAAAGCAGAATGGAATGTACATCCTGACTCTGACTTCTTTGGACAGGAGGAAGAAACCCAGTTTGGATTCTCCTCCAATCCAGCAGGAAACCATGGTTCTCAGAAAGAAACAGATCTTATCACAGTGACTGGCAGCTCATTTTTGGTATGAACTAACTATTAATTCCTTGCCACGTGGCTTATTCTTATGAATTACACTCAATTTTTAGGCTAGTCTGGACTAAATGTTTAATTTATAATCTTGACTCTGGAACTGTCAAGTTGTGTGACCCTGAGGAAGTCACTTAACCTATCTGAGCCTTAATTTCTTTATTTATAAAATGAGGTGGTTTCAGTAGATTATTTCTAAGGTCTTTTAACTCTGTATTTAATGATTTTGTGCTCTTTCTTGAAAATTTTAGGAAATCTTACCATGATTAACTATTGCATGTGCTTCTAATGTAATGAAAATGCATTGAGAGTTAATGATCAGAGAATGTGGAACTGGTGTTTAACTCTAAAATTTTAATGGAAATTTTACAGAATGTCAAAATATTTCTGAAATCTAGTGTTAGAGCTTAAAAAAAGAAAGCTAAAAATATGGGTTAGTTCTGCTTACCTCCTTATCTTTCTAGCTGCTGCTGCTGCTGCTGCTTCTGCTGCTGCTGCTGCTGCTGCTGCTGCTTCTTCTTTTTCTTCTTCTTCTTCTTCTTCTTCTTCTTCTTCTTCTTCTTCTTCTTCTTCTTCTTCTTCTTCTTCTT